AAAAAAAAAAAAAAAAAAAAAAAAAAAAAAAAAAAAAAAAAAAAAAAAAAAAAAAAAAAAAAGAAAAAAGAAAAGACAACAATCAAGGAATAGAACAAGAACCAAGATTCAAGTGCTAAGGACAAGAACCTAGGTCCTTAGTACTAAGGCCCTTAAACCAGAACCAAGGTTTCAGAATCCAAGTACCATGATGGTCATGATAGATCATGATAAGAACCCACCAGTCAAGGACAGGATTAATGGCTTTTATGATGAGTATGATGTATGCATGACGATGTTATTAACATGATTATGTTTTTTATGTTGAGCATGCTTTATGATGTTGTGTGCCATGTTGCATCACGTCGTTAGACCAACATAGGACACAACCCTTAGAGTACGAAAATGATATTAATATAAATATCCATGAGCACGTGTTACATAGTGTAACAAAGAGATGAGACTAGAGGCTTGTGTCTGAAGAGACGCATAATTGGATTTAGAGGGACCTTTGCATATTGTGTGTTCATAAGCATAGGGCTACTTCTCCTAGAGATGATGAGTGTGGATGTGCACCGTATGATGATGAGTATGAATGCGCACGAGTGCGAATGCGCACAGATGAGGGTGTTCATGAGGCGCATGACACTATGGGGTTCCACTGACCTCCGAACGTCGCTACAGATTAGTTTGACCAGAGGGTCCAGGGGGTATGCGAGCGCTTTGGGGATTCACACTCGCACGTGTGAATCGAGTGTAGGGAAGTACTACACATCCAATTTGTCCGAAGACTGAAGGCCACCCTTATGATGTTTAGAGATAAGTCTCTAAATCATGATTGCATGTGTTTGTATTAGCATGGTCCCTATAATGAGGTCACTCGAGTATTTCTTCGAAATACTCAGGCCATTTGCCATATTGTTTTTCAAGTAAAGGCAAGACGCCCATGTACGGTTGACAGCAGCATCGTGATCAGAGACTGCGGCTCGTGCATAGGATTGTTGCATATTTAAAATTCCTAGTGTTGGGTTAGAACAGAGTGTTTGCATTTTGTTTATTTAAATTATTTAGTTTTTAATTTTTTTCTTATTTTGAACTCCAGCATGATGTTTGAAACACTAAGTTCGATAATGTTTTCTAGTGGTTTAATGTATTTTGAAGTTCTAAATTTTTCACTATTTAAGATCAGCATTTCTAGAGTTATATTCCACATTTAAGATGAGCCTGAGAGGATAGTGGGACTCTGGATAGGTGGAAATATAGGGTCGTCATATTTGATGTGAAACGGGATCCCTGTCTAACACAATGGATACCGGGTACTTCGTGTAGTCTTGTTACTTCCTTCAAGTACAACTGAGCCCATTTATCCACGGAATAGGTGGACTTCCCTAGCAGAAAATGAGCTGGCTTTATGAGTCTATCAACCACAACCCATATGAATGTGTACCCTCTAGCCGTCCTCGTAATCCCACAATAAAGTCCATGGCGACGTGTACGTTTTCCATACTAGCACACTTCGCATTAACGTTGTTTGATTCGGGTTTGAACCATTCTTTTGTTTCGTTGCCTTATGTTAGTCAAGCAGGGTTCATAGTTAAACCCTTATTGCATGTGTTTTCGATCGGTACCCCAGCGAGGGTAGACCTATAATTGAAAATAGAGTAAAAGACGGGCAAGTAGTAGTAGCAGGACAAACCATCAAAGTAGACCTAAAAATAGTAGATTTGAAAGATTTCGACATCATACTGGGATAGACTAGCTAGCCAAAAACTTTGCTAGTATAAACTGTCATAAGAAAGAAGTAGTATTCACACCTCCAAACGAAGCTCACCTTTAAATTTAAAGGAACTTGCACAGGTACCACCAAAAAAATAATATCGACGATGAAAGCCAAACGCCTAGTATAACAAGGGAGGTGGGTGATTCTAGCCATGCAGTGAACACAAAAGGAAAAGAGAAAACAATAGATACAATACCCAAAGCAAACAGATTTTCATATGTCTTCCTAGAGGATCTCCGAGGAATCCCTACTTTACAAGCAGTAAACTTCAGGATAGAATTTGAACCAAGAACAGGACCCATCTCTAAAGCCCCATACCACATGGCCCCAACAGAATTAAAAAAAACTTAAAGTACAATTGGAAAACTTATTACATAAATGCTTCATTCGACCTAGTGTTTCCCCTTGAGGTGCACAAGTGTTGTTTGTAAAAAAGAAAGATGGTTTGATACGTATGTGCATTGACTATAGAGAACTAAACAAGAGGATGATAAATAACAAATATTTGTTGCCACGATCAAGGACATATTCGACCAACTTCGAGAAGCAACCGTATTTTTCAAAATGGATCTTCGACCAGAATACCACCAAATTAAGATTAAAGACAAAGACATACCGAACACTGCCTTTTGAACCAAATATGTCCACTACGAATTTGTAGTGATTTCGTTTCACCTCACCAATGACCCAACGATGTTCATGAAAGTAATGGATCGAGTATTTAAGGAGTGCCTAGACACGTTTGTGAACGTGTTCATAGACGATATCCTAATATACTCGAAAACAGACCAAGAACACCTTGGTAAAGCCCTAACTATCTTGAGGGAGAACAAGTTGTACGCCAAATTCTCCAAATGTGAATTTTGGCTACAACAGGTTTCGTTTTTGGGACAAGTAGTGTCTAAAGACGGAATTTCAGTAGATCCCACCAAGATAGAAGTCATCACGAAATGGGAACGCCCAACTATGGTCACCGAGGCATGAAGTTTCTTAGGATTGGCAAATTACTATAGAAGGTTTGTCCAAGACTTCGCAAGAATAGTCTGCCTCTCACCCAATTGACAAAAAAGGGCAGATCTTTCGTATAGGATATCTGGGACTGCATAGTGTCTAGCCTAGGGGTGTGCTGAATACCCCTAAGCCATATAGTCCCCCTATGGGGGGCACAACCCCAACCCGTTCCCATGCAGCTAATGAGCTGTACGACGTGGGGACACATTTCTCATGCGAAATGGCTAAGAGCAGTAAGGATTGAACAGGGACCCTTGGTCCTTCCACGAAGCTATAGATACTATTATCACACTAGCAATCTATAAACACTCCTGACGTACCTTGTTGTCGTGGTAATCCGCTAAGTTCCTAAGAAAAAGTTAAGTCTGACTAGAGCGACATATCACTCCTAACAGTAATCCCCTAAGCTTATCATAGAAATGGGTCATAGCAATTAACAGAGTGTGCATGCAACTGTCTTCTAACATCATAATATATAATTCATGCAAACTAGGCATGTCGTCTAAACAGGACGATGACCTCCATCAAGCACCCAGAACACGGAGTTCGCGCTCAATGGGGCGAATTCATCCATCAAGCACCCGGAACGCAGAATACACAATTTCAACATAAATTAAACGCATGCATACGTACGACGGAAGCTTAAAGCATACAAGCAACACTTAGATAATTCACCCAATACAATCATAACAATCAATCTAACTAATATTTTACATGGAGAGCTAATCTGAAACAAAATTACTAGCATACATGCAGTCCAAGCGAATTCTACAAGTATTTCTTCCTAAATACCGAGTGGTGACTTACCTGGTTGACGCGTGCCTTTTATCTAGCGTTTCTTTGCCCGTGAGGTGTCAAAAAATACTTATTTCTTTAAATTAGGTCCCTACTCACGTAAAAATAGTATTAGAACTGAAATCGGGACAAGGGACAAATATCGGGCAAACAGAGAGCAAACGGGCCAAAACAGCTGTTCCACACACGCTCACGCGTTGGCAGTGTGCTGGGACTGTGAGGGCCACGCGCGGCAGCTTCTACGCAGTCGCGGGTTGGCTGGTCCGGTTCGGCTCGGCTTTGCAGGCGACACGTGTCATCGCCTCGCTGGAGTTGCATTGCTCCAGCCGACAATCGACGCGTATTCGACGTCTATCACGCCGCCCTCTACCGCTCGCTGACCGACCTTTTTGTTTTTTTTCCTTCTCTGTCCTCTGCAATCCGAAACACTGTGTCCCCTTTTTCGATTTTCATATCTTTCGATTCATAGATCGGATCGATAAGATTTCTTTGGCAAAGTTCTAGATCGTGTTACGGGATACGTCCTAGTATTTTTTTTATAATTTTTTGCTTAACTACCGAACAAGTTAAGAGCGTCGAAAGTTCGCTCACCGTTCTCGGACGATTCTCGGATCTCTACCTTTGGGTTGAGGTCTCGGCCAAACTTCTTCACAGATCGTGCGTAGAGTTGTTCCTAGGTGAATATTTCAGCATTTTAGGACTCAATTCACATAGGAAAAACTCAGATCTGAAAAATGTCGTTTAGAACCTTACCTCGCGAAACTTATTTGAATCTTGACGGAGTGTCGACCTCGCTAGCCTCTCAATCCTTGTACAAGTCTCGTTTGAAGGTGGATTCCAACATGGTCCGATAAACTTTGCAGCTAATTCCTCTCCATTTTCTCTCGAAGTCTCTTTTTCCTTTGCAGGGGATTTGATGGGGTTTTCTTTGAACCCCATTTTTGCCCCTCAGTTGACTTGGCCCTTTTTTTTTTTTGCGTTACAAACTCTCCCCTCCTTAGGAACTTTCATCCCCGAAAGTGGATATCTCTTGGAAGAGTTCGGGGCAAGCTCTCCTCACGTCCTCTTCTCATTCCCAAGTTGCCTCTTCCTCACGGTGGTTACCCCATGAAACCTTTACCAAGGGAATACTTTGTTGCGTAACTGCCTAGTATCTCGAGCCAAAATTATGTTACGCTTCTCCTCGTAAGACAGATCTTCCCAAAAATGAAGCATCTCATGCTCGATTACATGAGTAGGGTCTAGAGTGTACTTTCGCAACATGGATACGTGGAACACATTGTGCACAGCGGCAAGGTTCGGTGGCAGGACAATTCTGTAAGCCACAGCCCCAACTCTTTCTAGAATCTCGAAGGGGCCATGAACCTTGGGCTCAATTTCCCCTTCTTTCCGAACTTCAACACCCCCCTCATAAGGGCTACCTTCAGGAACACGTGGTCACCCACCTCAAATTCGAGGTCCCTTCTATGCATATCTGCATAGCTTTTCTGTCGTTTCTGTGCGGTGAGTATCCTCTATTTGATTTTCTGCACCGCTGCGTTGGTGACCTGAACCAACTTTGGTCCCAGTAGTTGTTGCGTGCCTACCTCTTCCCAAAACACCGGTGTTCGACACCTACGCCCATACAGTGCCTCAAAGGGTGTCATCTGGATGGTTGCTTCATAACTATGATTGTAGGCAAGCTCCATTAAAGGCAAATGTTCGTCTCAGCACCCAGAGAAATCTAAGAAACAGGCTCGCAACATATCCTCTAAAACTTGGTTCAGCCTTTCGGTCTGTCTATCCGTTTGAGGATGGAATGTTGTACTGAACCTCAATTGAGTTCCTAGTGCTTTCTGAAGACTCTTCCAAAACTGAGAGGTGAACCTAGTGTCCTGGTCTGATACTATGGACACTGATACCCCGTGCAGGCGTACTATCTCCTTGATATATAACTGAGCCCACTGATCCACTCGATATGTGGACTTTCCTGAAATGAAGTGGGTCGTCTTAGTCATTCTGTCTACAACTACCCAGATGACGTTGATACCCTGCTTTGTCTTTGGCAAACCCGAGATGAAATCCATACAGACTGCTTCCCATTTCCACTGAGAAACATTTAGGGGCTGTAGCAATCCTGCTGGGTGCTGCCTCAGGGCCTTCACCTGCTGGCAGGTCAAGTAACGGCTTACGAAATCCGTTATGTCCCTCTTCATTCTGGACCACTAATAGTATCTTTTCAGATCCCGATACATCTTCGTACTTCTAGGGTGGAACGTATAAGATGTATCATGGGCTTCGGTCATAATATCTTTTAAGATTCCCTCATCTTGGGGAACGCACAAGCGGTTTTGCCATAGTAGACCCCGTCTGAGGAGATAGAATACCCTGTCGGTCTTTCTGTCTCAGTCTGATTCCACACTATACTAAGGTGTTCATCAGATCTCTGAGCGTCAATAATTTTCTTTCGTAGGGTGGGTTGTATGGTTAACTGTGCCATATGAACATTACCACCTTTAACCACCACGTCTATCCCAGCCCTGTTCATCTCATCTTGTAATCTTTCCTGTGTGGTGATCATCGCAGAAGTATGCACAGCCTTCCTGCTCAATGCATCAGCTACCACATTAGCTTTGCCTGGATGGTACAGGATCTCTATGTCATAATTCTTTACTAGTTCTAACCATCGCCTTTGTCTCATATTGAGCTTCTTCTGCGTGAATAAGTACTTAAGGCTCTTATGATCAGTGAAGAATTGTACTTCTATCTTAGCTGGGTCCACTGTAATCCTTTTGCTTGACACCACGTGACCCAGAAATGCTACTTCAGACAACCAAAACTCGCACTTAAAGAACTTGGCATACAACTGTTGGGCTCTCAATATTGTCAAGACTTTTTTTTAGGTGTTTTTCATGATCTGCCTTTGACTTAGAGTATACCAGAATGTCGTCGATGAACACTATGACAAAAGTGTCTAAGAATTTCTTAAACACCCTATTCATTAGTTCCATGAAAACTGTTGGTGCATTGGTAAGGCCAAAGGACATAATGAGAAACTCATAATGTCCATAACGACTTCTAAGGCTGTCTTGGGTATGTCCCCATCTCTGACCCTCAACTGATAATACCCCGACCTTAAGTCAATTTTGGAGAAGACTGTTGCTCCCTGTAGCTGATCAAACAGGTCGTCAATTCTCAGGAGAGGGTACTTAGTCTTTATAGTGACCTTGTTTAATTCCCTGTAATCTATACACAACCGCATGGACCCGTCCTTCTTCTTGACAAACAGAACAGGGGCTCCCCATGGTGATACACTAGGTCGGATGAAACCCTTATCCAACAGCTCCTATACCTGTTCCTTCAATTCCCTAAGTTCTGCAGGTGCCATCCTGTAAGGTGCCTTGGAGATCGGCACAGTTCCTGCTTCCAAGTCGATCCCAAAATTGACTTTCCTAGCTGAGGGAAAACTTGGCAGATCCTCCGGAAAGACATCTACGAACTCCCTGACGTTGTATACTGATGAGGTTATTTGTTTGTTACTATTGTCTAAGGTTACGCTGGCTAGAAATGCACTTGCGCCACTACGAATCAACTTCTTAGCCCTTAACGATGTTATGACGCTTGGGGCACCTTTGGAAGTGGCTCCCTTGTAGGTAAAGTTGTTCCCTGACGAGAGCCTGAGAGTCAGTATTCGAGTCTCGCAATCTATCAAAACACGATTCTCGCTTAGCCAATCCATACCCAAGATGACATCGAAGTCTTGCATGCTTAACACTATCAGTGTAGCTTCGATGACACGTCCTGATATTGTTACACCACCTCTTTTAACCCTATGGGTAGCTAGCAACAGTTCGTGAGCAGGGGTGGACACTGATAGGGTAATCTCTAAAGGTTCTTTCTCTAGGTGTGCTAGCTCTACAAACTCCTCAGATATGAACGAATGCGTTGAACCCGAATCAAACAATACTAAAGCAAGATGGTCAAATACGAGTAGCGTACCTGTGACAACTGCGTTAGGCTAGTCAGCTTGCCTGGCTGTTGTTGCATGGGCTACAGCTCGCCCCTGCTGATGTTGAGCACCCTTGCCCTTCTGATGCTGTACTGCAGGCCGGTTGACACTCTAATCTTTCCTCTAAGGGCAATCCACTGCAAAGTGCCCTACCTGGCCGCATCTGTAGCATTCCCCCGTGTGAGGACGCTAGTAGTTAGGAAAAAGGGTCATGTTCCGTATCGGGGCTCTTCTTCGCTTATCAGTGCGGCCACGGGGCGGTCTACCAGTTCTAGGGTGGGCTAGGGTATGTCCCATTTCCCTAGGCTGCAGTGTGGGATGATTGTGATGTTCCCAATTGTAGTTTGTCGGTGCGGGACGCGTCGAGCAGGGTCGCCACTTGAAGGGCTTTCGCATAGACGAAGGATGACTAGGATGCCACATTCCCCCTTAGTTCCTCCATCAAGCCAGCGATAAATCGTTCACCCTTCAACTCCTCAGAACTAACATAGGCTGGAGAAAACCTTGCCAGCCTATTGAACTCCAAGTCATATTCCTCCACTGATCTGTCTCCCTGTTTCAGTTCGAGAAATGCTAGACACTGGGTGATGTGCTAATGAAGAGGTTGAGCCTTGAAGGGGGTGGACACGAGATGGTGTACCAGCAAGGACGTTGGACTCTAAAGAGAGTTGATTGGAGGGTTCCACATCGATTGGAGAAGGGAACGAGTACTAGCGAGAACGTTGGGCCCCGAATGGGGGTAGAATGTAAGATCCCACATTGATTGGCGAGAATAACGAAACATTATTTATAAGGGTGTAAAAATCTCTAGTGGACACATTTTAAAAATCTTGAGGGAAACCCGAAAAGAAAAGTCCAAAGAGACAATATCTACGAGCAGTGGGCTTGGGCCATTACAAACACACATTAATTTTATGAAAAATATTTTATATTTTAATATTAATTTAAAAGAAATCAACCATTACAATTGAATTAGTCAAGATATTCTCATTAATATTTGGAATATATATTGGTTATGAAATATATTTTATATTTTAGGATTAATTTAAAAGAAATAAATCATTACAATTGAATTAGTCAAGATATTCCCATTAATATTTGGAGAATATATTAGTTATAAAATAAATCTTAGATATTCGTAATCAATTAATATTTTTCGTAGTATATTTTATTTTATTCTCAAGATTTAGTTAGTTTATATTTTCTTTATTTGTAGGTATTAAATGGTAACCGTATACTATTTAAACATTTGTGAATATCAATGAAAATTGAAATCCCAATTCTAATTCTATTTCTCATTCCTATATTATTTATTTAATAATAATATTTTTAGATCTATTCTTTTGTAGAGAATGAATCAAATGTTTTCAAATTAGAATTTAAATCTAAATTTAAAAAATAATATAATAAAACAAACATTATAGGACAAATATTAAATAAATAAAATAATGATAGGCTCATACCTTTGACGGAAAGTCAACGGCATCATTGACAGCTTACCAAACTTCTATTTTATGTCTCTCACACTCCAACTTTAAGTTTCACCAAATATTTTGTACTGCAACCCCACGCGCCTCACGCACTTTCCTTTCTCTCAAAATAATATATATATATATATTATATTTTTTAATTTTCTTTGGCTGACGTGTACGGTGTACCATAATTTACTTTCTACTTCAACTTTGACCTTCA